ATCTCTCCTCCTTCTTTTTTACGTTTGTTGTTACTCTCTTGTAACACCTCTAATCTTCGGCACTTATATGACCTTATTGTGTTGCAAGTGCCGTAAAACTCTTTACTAAAACTAAAACACACTCACCAATACACAAGAATAAACAAACACACAATTTGGTCCCAGGAGCAGCTGCCCCGAGAGCTATTAATAGAACAGGGCGACAGGGCGTCTGGGTAATTTGTCCCTTCTTTACTTCCCAACCGCGCGAAAATAACGGTTTATAAAGGAATAGAGGTGTAAATTAGACGGTGAGGTCAAGGGTCAACAAGGTGCTATCTGCGCTATGTCATTCACTCCGACCAGTGGAGACAGGACATTTGTGCATCGGGTCGTGTTGGGGGAGGTGGGGGCGGTGGGTAGGTGAGGTGAGGGGAGGGGAGGGGAGGGGAGGGGAGGTCAAAACAAAAGTCGTTGTCGTGTTTTTGTTGAGGGGTAGTTTGGTGGTGTTTTGTACATAAAGAAACTATTTGACTCAAAATGAAAACTTGTTGCGAGATCTATTCCTTCTGCGATTGAAAAAAAAATGTGTGTGTGTGTGTGTATGTGTGTGTATGTGTGTGTGCGTGTGTGCGTGTGTGTGTGTGTATGTGTATGTGTGTGTATGTATGTGTGTGTGTGTATGTACTGTGTGTGTGTGTGTGTACTGTGTGTGTGTGTGTGTCTGTGTGTGTGTGTACTGTGTGTGTGTGTGTGTGTGTGTGTGTGTGTGTGTGTGTGTATGAGTACGTACAATATGTGTACAACAGGCAGCATGGATACCTTGATGGAAGATCATTGGCCCTATTTTGTGGTTCCACATGACTCCTCCCCAGATCATGACGCAAGGTCCTTTCCAGCGATTCCTTTCTATGACACAGTTGTCACGATAACGTTCGCCTTCCTGTTGAGAAACTCTGAGGTCCCTATTTACTGTACTGTATTTATGGAGAACAGGCAATCGTCCAAAAAGGAGAACCAACGACCAGTCTCTCATACGGCTGTTGACGTGGGGCCTACCTGACGCAATCGTCGGTTTACTGTGAGTCGACTAATGGCTATTCCGTGGGTACCCCTTATGAAATCTAATGTTCTTGTAGCTGTCTGAGGTCGATTTGAACGATAAATCCGGACAGTGTATTTGTAAGCACGTGCATTGGTCACTGTGGGTCGACCTGACCTTTTTCGGTCTGACGTACGAAATCGAGAGCTAAAAACGGGTTATGAGTCTGTGGGTAGTCGAGATGCGAAAACCAAAATGATTGGCAACCACAATTGGCCTTTTCCACTCTCCAAACAGACTCTTGCTCTTTCTTGGTGCATAGCCCTTCAACGTGGCTTTGTCCTAGCAAATGCAGGCGAAACGACTGAACCGAGTTTTTTACCACGGCTTTTATAGCCGAGCTCAGGAGAATACTTTTCACCTTTCTTTCACTCGTTTAGACCGTGTTTCGAAGGCACTACGTTTCTTTTCCCATGTTTCAATTAAGGGGCAAAAACTGAAGTTGCTGGGGTCAAGCAAGACGGGCGACTTTTGATTTCCAAAAAGGACAATAATATGACATACTATCGATTGTGTAAAGTATAGTCTTCCACCGATCATGGTTATTTACCTATGGCCAAAATAGTTTTTCGCGTTTCTTTTGTATACGTGTATGTATATTATGTCATTTATAAAGCGTTCAACCCCGTTTCAAGTACACAGGCTCTGGGCGCTTTACAATACAACAAAAAATGTTGTAATCAGTACATTGTGTTCTGACCGAAAGAAAATCTTTCTCTAAATATTCATCTCATTTATTTCAAAGCAGAAATAACATTTGAATGAATAAAAGGATTTGATCTGTCTTAAACTACTGGGCAAAACATTCCAGATTTTGGGACCTTGATATTCAAATGCCCTTTCACCCATAGGTGGTAAAAGAAATTTTAAACTGGGAGTTGTAACGTACAGTTTCAACAGATTTAATAACTATGATAGCGCATTTTTATTTAGGCATTTGTGACACAGAGTGGCCAACTTATACATCATTCTTTTCCTAACAGTACGCTAGTGCAGTGTCTTTTTTTAAAGGAGTAGCAGAGACATGCCTTCTTTTCTGTAAAACTAAACGTGCGGTGTTGTTGTGGACAGTTTGAAGACTTCTCACTTTCTCCGGCGATATTCCTGATACCAAGGAGTTACAATAATCAAGTCTTGATAAAACTAAGCTATTTACAAAAAAAGCAGTATACTCATAGTGCAGTCCAAAAATTGTGGAGCAACTTATTGTCCAATATCTCCTAAACTATCAATCATAGGCTCTCCAGCTTTTGCAAAGCGACTTGTATCAATGTGTCTTAACTGATCAATATTTTTGTAAATACCTGTTAGCTGTATTCTAGAAAATTCCTATAAAGATACTAATTTTTAAAAAACCAAGTGAGTGGTTTCCACTGATCTTAAAAAGTTTACAGCTGGTACAATATCGCTTATACAGGCAAGTCCGAAGTTGTTTTTTCTAATCACAATATCATGCTTATTGAACGCATGTTTTTAGAACCTTTAGATAAAAAATATGTCCGTTGTGAAATTAATTTCTTGTAACAAGTTTTGCCACTAAAACGTGTCATTGGTGAGCTATGACGTACGCCATATGCGTATGCAAAATGTGTGCGAGAAACAAGGAGTGCTGTGAACAATCCCATTTTTCGTGTGATGGAGATTTATAGTGTCTTATATAAATTTATGAAGAAAAGTTGTTTTTTAAATCTAGCCTCAATAACTATGGAAAAGCATGATTAGGTTCAAACAAATTATTTATACAAGCTGCTGTGCAAAGTCTGTGTGACATTTAAAACAAATTGATGCATGCTGCTGTGCAAAGAAGACGCATTTTACTGATTTTTTCAAATACGAGCTGATCAGATGGTTTACCTTCGCCAACATTGTCAAACTGGAATCAAAATTGAAGCCAAGATCTTTCACTTTTCTTGAAAATATAATTCCTGCATCACCAATTTTCACGTGAACGTGGTCAACCTCCTTAACAGACTTTCCACTGCCTACAAGAATGACTTCTGTTTTATCATCATTGAACATCAATATGTTTTTGTTCATAGCAAGATGGACAGGTTCATCTAAGTTGGTAAACATTGTTGAACAATAAATGTGTGTGTCATCAGTATAGAAATGATACTTTAGGTCATACTTAACTATTTTTTTGACAAGCGATGGAGTATTAATGGTGAACAAAAGTGGATCCAGGACTGAGCCCTGGAGGACCCCAAACATAAGAACGTTATATGTATAAAAAACCGTGTCAAGACGCTTAATCATTTCCATATGAAATGCCCCAGGAGAATTCTTGGCGTCAAATGGAAGGATGATATACCACACACGGAAGTTCTAAAATGGAAAAATGCACTTCAGTGGGCTGGCCATGCTGTAAGAATGACTGATTTCAGAATCCCAAAATCAGTATTCTGTTCTGAACTGACCTCAGGGAAGCGTAAGGTTGGCGCACCGAAAAAGCGCTACGAAGACACCCTGAATATGTCTCTGGAGGACTTCAGCATAATAAAAATGAATGTACATGTACTTCGACATGGGAGAGCCTATCTCCTGACAGACCCAGCTGGAGAGCAGCAGTCACAGTGGGCAGCAAATCGTATGATGCTTCACAAATATAAATGCTGAAACCAAGAGAGAAGCCTACAAGCTGCATACATTCACAAGTGGAAGTGAAACGTTTAAAAGTTCCAAATGTGGCAAACTTTTCTCTGCCAGAATTGGTCTCATCGGCCAGAGCAGAAGCCATAAGTCATCGTAATCTTTAATTCTTCTAATTCTTCTGCTTGGGAGGAGAACTATTCTCCACGGTAGACGTATTGGTCATCGTCAGACATTGACGGACGAGCTATTGTATGTGATTGTTTATCTGTACAGCAACCATTTTGCAAGATGAAATGTTTGATGCTCTATATGTGAGATGAGAAGTTTGAGTTTGATGCTCTGTTTTGCTAAAGACAAGATGAAATGTTTGATGCTCTATATCTGAGAAGAGAAGTTTGAGTTTGATGCTCTTTTTTGCTAAAGACAAGATGAAATATTTGGTGTGATATACGAGTAATATCGTTCATGACAAGATAAGATGTTGATGAGATTTAATATTGTTCTGGACAAGGTAATATAATTATTTGGTAAGATATAATATTGTTCTGCACAGATATTTGATGAGATATAATACTGTTCAAGACAAGATAAGGTATTTGATACGAATTAATATCGTTCATGACAAGAAGAGAAGTTTGATGTGATGTATCGATCACAAGATAAGAGGTTTGGTGCGGTATAGATCTAATATCGCTCAGGATTTCATGAGATGTTTGATGCTATGTAATAAATATCGTTCATGACAAGATAAGATTTTTGGTGCGATATAATGTCGTTCATTACAAGGTTCGATGTTTGACGTGAAATAATGATGGTGGTTGGAGGGCGCAACTGGTAGGTCCTACTTCTTTACTTTCCATCTGTTGTTTCTTTCTGTGTGTCCTACTTTTCCCAGCACTTGCTTACTTGGATTTATTTGGATCCAGAACTAGAATCATAGCAGGCGGCACATGTCCATAGCTGCTCATCTCTCCTTTCCAGCGTCCACCACAGGGTCTTCCTGCTAATTGTCTCCATGATGAGCTAGTCTGAGACACGCCTGACCACTCCTCGGAGCAAACTTTTTTTCGCTGTGCCCCGCACACACTTTCCTTTTATTGTGTTGAGTGTGTGGGAGTCTGACTCCTCTTAGTTGTGAAGGCTCTCCTTGCATCTGGCGATCACCATTGGTGGGTCGAGCATGATTCGGCCATTGGGTGCTGCTTTGCCGGCAAGTTCATCAGCACGCTCATTTCCGTGTACCCCGGCGTGACCAGGGCAGAACACCCATGTAATTCTTAGGAGGTGGCTATTTGCAATGGAAGCTCTCCAGTCACTGTAGAGCCACCCACTCCTGATTTTTTGTAGGGTGCTCATCGAGTCTGTGAAAAAACAGGGCATGTTTATACGCTTCCATGCTGATCCATTCCAGCGCCTCTGTTATTGCCTTGACCTCCATTGCCATGCTCGACGTAGTGCACTCGTAAGCTCCAGACTGTTCTTTGATTATCCTACCTTCAACTCGAGCACTGAACGCCCATCCAGATTTCTGGCCACGCCTCACTGATCCGTCGGTGAAGACAACAACATCACCCATCACTGAATTTTCCTCTAGGATGGCCACAATTTCCGCATTAGTTGCACTTGCTGGCCACTCGCGACACTCCCAGCACTAAGTGACCATTATTGTGTCGATGTGCTTCTCTTTACTAAAAAAAACAACAAAAAAACAAACAAGAAGTGAAATAAAAGCGTTCAGGACTTCATGTGATGTTTGAAGTGCCGTATCTGAGATAAAATTCAAAGCAATGTATCGTTCACGACAAGATGATATTTCAATGTGCTATGTCGTTCACGACAAGATGATATTTCAATGTGCTATGTTGTTCACGACAAGATGATATTTCAATGTGCTATGTCGTTCACAAGATGATATTTCAATGTGTTATGTTGTTCACGACAAGATGATATTTCAATGTGCTATGTCGTTCACAAGATGATATTTCAATGTGCTATGTTGTTCACGACAAGGTGATATTTCAATGTGCTATGTCATTCACAAGATGATATTTCAATGTGCTATGTCGTTCACGACAAGATGATATTTCAATGTGCTATGTCGTTCACGACAAGATGATATTTCAATGTGCTATATCGTTCACAACACGATGGTATTTCAATGTGCTATGTCGTTCACGACAAGATGATATTTCAATGTGTTATGTCGTTCACGACAAGATGAGAAGTTTGATGCGCTGTACGGTTTACGACAAAATGAGATGTTTGATGCGTTGTTTCTGCTCGTATCCCAGCTCCTCGTTAAGGCTGTGCAGTCTGACCAGCTTCTCCTCGTCCAACACCGCCAGCACGTAGTCGGGGACATGGCGGCCTTGACCTTGCTCCACCAACACCAGCACGCGGTCAGGGTTCACCGGGGTCACGGCAGACGTGCACATCTGAAAGTTTGCACAGTGAGATATGTGATATGAGATGTTCACATATGAAAGTTTGCACAATCAGATATGTTGGGGAGATGTTCACATCTTAAAGTTTGCACAATGAGATAAGTGTTATGAGATGTTCACATCTGAAAGTATGCACAATGAGATGTGTTAAAGACGTGCACATCTGAAAGTTTGCACAAGAAAGGAACCTTGGGGAAGGTAAGTATAAACAGACCTAACGTTGTACAAAGGAGTGACTTGGACTGTCCGTGCAGGATCCTCGTGCCCTTCACTACGGGATCCGGCAAGTTTTACTTTTTTGTGTTGTCTTTTGTACAGTTTGAGTGACATCTGACCTTCATGAGTAGATGGTTGAAGAGTGCCACAGGAGTGCCATGTTTATTTCCTGACTAAATGACCGATTGTGTCGATGGCTTTCTCTTTATTCTAACAAACAAACAAGCAACAGACTGTTATGGTGTCGATGTTATTTTCTTTACTCATGTAAGCAAAAAAGACACACAAACAAACAGATAGACAAACAAACAAACATACAAACAAACAAACAAACAAACAAACAAACAAACAAGCAAACAAACAAAGGAGCACAACCAACCTTCATGACGAGGTGCGCCTTCTCGTATCTCCGGAGAAAGTTGGCGGACAAGACCAACACCAGTCTCCAGCTGTCCTGGATAGCGTCCAGCAGCTGTTGGTCAAGATAACCCGCGCCCAGGTCACGCTGGTGGATGTAAGTGATCAGGTTCAGATCTTCCTCCAGGTACCTGTGTGGACAAATTGTCATACAGCGTTATAGGACTTTGTTGTCAAAGTTTTCAATCAGAGTTATTGGACTTTGTTGTCAAAGTTTTCAATCAGAGTTATTGGACTTTGTTGAGAAAGCTGTCATACAAAGCTATAGGACTTTGTCAAAGCTGTCATACAGAATTATAGGACTTTGTTGTCATACTGAGTTATAGGACTTTGTTGTCAAAGCTGTCATACAGAGTTATAGGACTTTGTTGACCAAGTTCTCATACAGAATTATAGGACTTTTTGTCAAAGTTCTCAATCAGAATAATATTTGACTTTGTCAAAGTTGTCATACAGAATTATAGGAATTTGTTCTCATACTGAGTTATAGGACTTTGTTGTCAAAGCTGTCATACAGAGTTATAGGACTTTGTTGACCAAGTTCTCATACAGAATTATAGGACTTTTTGTCAAAGTTCTCAATCAGAATAATATTTGACTTTGTCAAAGTTGTCATACAGAATAAAAGCGTTTTGTTGGTATGTGCTAAGAAAAGATAAGATAATATAAGATAATACTTTATTATCCCAGACGGAAATTTTTCTTAGCTATACAGGACCGTAAAAACACATGCAGGTATCATCATCAACCAGTGCCAAATCTGCGACAGACATCGGCGATCATAGTTTTCCATTCATTCCTTTGCTCGGATGCTCTAAAAAAAGCTACGTTTCACTGATCTTTCCCTGTTACCCATTTGTTTAGGTTCTCTGAGAATGTTGTTCTGGGCCTACCCCTGCCTCGCTTGCCCTCAATTTTGCCACTGAGAGCTAGATGTTCAAGACCCTTATGTCTATTCAGGTGTCCCAAAAACTGCATTTGTCGTTCCCCGATTGTTTTTAACATTGAGCGTCCCACGTGGGCTTCATCAAGCACTAACTCATTCGATTTCTTTTCCTTCCACGATACTCTTAGCAGTCTCCTAAGAAACCACATTTCTGTTGCTTCTATTTTATTTTCACTGTCTTTAGTGATTGTCCAGCATTCACAGACATATAGAAGGGTTGACCATTTTGGTGTTCATTGAGATGTTTCTATTTTTCTGGATTGGGCTTATTTTATTGAAACCAGCCTTAGCCATTGCAGTTTTCCTTTTTATTTCTGTGGAACATTTGGCATCAGATTTCATCATATTATGTCCTATATATTTTAACTGTTGGACTTGTTTGATCTTTTCACCTTTGCTAATGAGATTACAACTAGGATTTGCTGATTTTTTGGATATTACCATGCATTCCGGGGTTTTTTTTTACATTCAACAATAATCCTTTATGTTCACTTTCTGTTACAACAGTATCTAGAAGCAATTGAAGGTCTTTGGGGGGGGGGGGGGGGGGCTGCTATTAAAACTGTGTCATTTGCATACCTGATGTTATTAATATTTTTTCTAATTTACCATGCAGGTATACATTTTTAAAAATTTAATTATGTATTACACTCATTAAAATCCAATATGAAAAGAGAAGTGAAGCTACAAAAATGCACTTATCACATCAGATGCATCATTCAACCACATGCAGGAATTTAATAACAAGACCTTTGGAGTTATAATATAGAGACATACTCTAAAGAACAATACAATCTATGCTTATTCTGACAGTAGCCTTATGCTAGAGGGTTAAAAAAAACTTCTTTTATATCTTTCTTTCTTTGTTTTTGGAGGTACGTAATATCTGCGGCTGCGTGATCTTACAATTTGCGTTTAAAGAAGGTATGCTAGATCGTTTATAATGCTTTTTATCTTTTTAAAACTGTTTTGATGCTGTGGGACGCTCAATGTTAAAAACAATCAGGAAACGACAAATGCAGATTTTGGGACACCAGAATAGACATAAGGGTCTTGAACATCTAGCTCTCACTGGCAAAATTGAGGGCAAGCAAGGCAGGGATAGGCCCAGAACAACATACTTAGGGAACCTAAACAAATGGGTAACAGGGAAAGATCAGGGAAACGTAGCTTTTTTTAGAGCATCCGAGCAAAGGAATGAAGGGAAAACCATGATCGCCGATGTCTGTCGTAGATCTGGCACTGGATGATGATGATGCAGAGTAACAGGACTTCGTTTCAAAGTTACCTATCTATCTATTTATCTATCTATCTATCTATCTATCTATCTATCTATCTATCTATCTATCTATCTATCATTATTTCTTGGTATATATCCACAATATAATCGCCTTTAAAGATCTAACCGTAAACTTCAGAAGAAGAGAAAAAACAAACCTGCGAAGGACGAAGCGAATGAAGCGGAAGTCATCATCGGCATATCCAACAAATACATGAATACCGTAATCCTCCATTTTTGTCTTCCTGAAAGACACATAAAGAGAGATAACTGGTTAAAACTGCACGCACTTGTCCAAAGTTTTCTCTGAAGGTTAATGGTGAGTCCATTGTGACGGGGTGTGTGGTAGTTTAGAAACATTACCTCTCTAGAGGAAATGTATGTGTTGTTTTCGTCAAGGTTTCTACTAGTATGCTTGAAGTGTGACGTGGAGAATTTCGTCAGGCTTTCACAGCCTTGGTCTTCCTTCTCTTCCTCTTCCTTTTTCTCTTCCTCCTCCCGTTCCTTCTCTTCCTCCTCCCGCTCCTCCTCCTCCTCTACTTCCTCTTCCCCTCCTCCTCTTCTTCGTCATTTTCCTCTTCCTCCTCGCTCTCCTCGTTTTCCTCCTTCTTCCCTACTCCTCCTCCTATACACAGTCACTACTTGCTACTCCTGGTTACGCCACTGGCTATGTTGTTGTTTACAGACTGAGGAACCAACCGTACCAACCAGGGTACAAGGATTGTTGGTGACATTGCAATAACAAACAATTTAGTTATTTACTTTTCCTTTAGTCTACATGCCCAGGATGATCGGGGAACCGCTTGTCTCCATCCTTTTCTATTTTTAGCCTTTTGAAGAGCTTCCCCCAACTTTGAACCTATCCATTTGTTATGTTATCTTACTATTTCATGTTTTATCTGCCGTTCTTTCTCCTTCCTTGTGTAGTGCCCTGTAGGATCATCTTCGCAAGTCCTGTTGATCTTGCTAGGTGTCTTTACTATCTACGTTTTTTCCTTTTTTCATAGATACCTTGTAAAATATATGATTCGCCGACTGATGGCTTCTGAATATTTCGATATTCGTTATATAACGGTTTATCCAGATTAAGGATGTGTTGAACACATTTCACTACTTTAATTTAGAATTATAAGGTTCTATCTGACATTTTTGACTGTTTTGAGTTACTAAGACCAAGAGATCAAAGACCAAATGTTCTATCTGCTCTAGAACTTTATGTGAATCGTAAGTTTATTCGGTGTAGTAATCAAGAAGTTCAAAGAATTGCATGCGAAAAAGCTTGACATGTTGTGAACCTCAAAAATATTGATCTCAAATTTCTCAAAACTAGGTACTGAGCAGGAAGAGCTTTGTAGTCCTGGGGTAGTCTTGTCAATCCCGGACGTGTTTGAGTTCTCCGTCCTCGGCTGTACTTTCAGAGAAAAACAACAACAACAACAACAACAGCAATCAAAAGGGAAAGCAAAGCACCGCTAAGCTAAGCATGTTATTGTCAACTACAGATGGGTTGATGTCGTTGGGGAAGTGAAAAGAAGATCAACTCATCCGAAGTTCAACTTAACCGTTGGGACATGGAAAGCTAAGTTCAACGTAACTGTTGGGACACAGAAAGTTAAGTTCAACTTAACCGTTGGGACTTGTAAAGAGACAAGAGAAAAAGATATCAACTCAAGAGAGGTCAACACAAGCGGGGTTCACTGTATCACCTGAAATCAGGAGCCAGGATGTTGAGAAAGAACGCCCGCACCGCAGTCCTGAACCGCCGCCACACGTAGACGGCCAGAAAGCCCACGATAAGGCTTAAGGCCAGGCTGAGAGAGACGAGGAGAGCCATTTTCCCGACACAGCGACGCCACAACGCCTTGGTCGTGACAAGGTCAGCAGTCCACCGGTCCTGCCCTCTGTCGTCGATGCACGAGTAGTTCCCGGACATGTCCAGACTCACCCACGTCGTGTGGAGCCAGACTGAGGGAGAAACAAGCGAGACAAGGACAGGTCGATAAACATACAAAAATAGATCTATCAACGATTGAAAATAGATTGAATGTAGGAGTTTTTACGTCTTCATCGACACAATATAGACGTGTGCAGACAGACTGAGGGAGAGGCATGCCAGACAAGGACTGGTGGACAAACGAAATAAAAGAGATCGATCAACGGTTGAAAACTGATTAAATGAAGAAGTTTTTCATGTACAGTCTCATCAATGTCGTGTGCAGCCAGACTGAAAGAGAGAGAGAGGGGGGGGGGGGCAGGTTGACAAATATACAATAATAGATCGATAAGCGATTGAAAATAGATTGAATGACGGTGTTTTTATGTCCCCATCGACACAATTTAGACCTTCTTAGCCAGACTGAGAGACAAGAACAAGTCCACAAACATGCATAAATCCATCAACGGTTGGAAATCGATTAAACTAGCTGGGCCCCCTTTCGATGAAAGGAATGATCGGTGCTTTAATATCAACTAACAGTAAAAGTAATTGGCCTACCATATAAATTTACACTCTACTGGAATGGGGCTATAAATCTTGAGAGATGAAAAAAAAATTAGGTCTAGATCTATACTCTCAAAATAACATGCGCCTTGCGAAATATCCCTTCCGGGTTTTCTAAAATTACAGATACCGAAGCGTCGGCCCACAAAAGCGATCGGCGAAATAAAGAAATTTAGCTTTTTGCAGCAAAACTGTCTCAAAACTTCAAAAACCAAGGGCGTCATGATCTGGAGAATAATTTAATTAATCTTTTGTCGAAAACCGCATGTCGATCGAGGGCAGAGAGTGAAGACAAAAGCAGACAACATAGCATGTTAAGGGGGGGGGGGCTACACCTGATGGCTATCTCGCTTATTACTGGACCGAATTTTACTAAATGTCACACATATAACAAGCATAGAAAGGAGTCTTTAAATCCCCAATCAAATTTGAGAAAAAGTATCGTTTCCATGGATACGGCGGCCATATTGGATTTTGTTGACATGTCTTACGTAATGAATACCGCACTTATCGCTCATGGAAATTGAATGTCTTTTGCATGCTTGTTCACAAACATTAGATCTAAAAATTTGTCTGTTGTTTTTTTCTTAAACGAATTAGAAAAATTTTTATGAATGTTTTCCTGAAGTAGCATTCAAGTTTTCAAAAAATCCGTTAAAATCCACACTCCAGACACCACCAACAAAAATCTATTCCATATTTCAAAAATTCAACAAACAGATTTTTACTATTACATGTTTTCTTCATTCTTTGAAAATTTCATGAAGATTGGATGAAAAATGGTGGAGTTATTCAAAAAAGTACAGAGAAAAGTCGAGTTTTGAGAGAACGGCCGATAAAGAAAAATAAGATACTGACTTTATGAGGAAATGGCGGTAACAAACATGCCCGGTATGGGAAAAAATACGGTTTTGGGGGGTTCATATATGATGAAATAGTTGTAGGAGTGGCTGAGAAAGCTAAAAATGCGTGCAACTCAAATTCCATAATTTTGAGCCGAATTTTCACTTTGAGGGTGTAAAGGAGGTGATGGGTGGGGGCAGAAAATGGGTACGAAAGCAGACGAAAGAACCCCTTAAGGGAGCAGGAAAGGAGGTGAAAGGATAAACATTTTAGTGGGGGAAAAATTATGTCGCTGTCATGTTTCGAACCCGGGACGTATTGAATGAGAGGCGAACTTCTATCCTCAAGACCACGAGAGCCCCCAAGCCAGACTGCGAGACGAGAACAGGTCAACAAACATAGAAATACAGAATAAAATAGAGTGACCAATTGATTACTATAACTGTTCTACTCCCCTCCCCCTATCTTCACAAATTAGACAGACGGTGAAGCCATACTGATACATGTATTCAAGGTCAAACAGATAGATTGACGGCAATCGATGTTGTCAATTGCCAGGTCAACCAATTAATATTGTTGTTGTTGTTGTTGTTGTTGTTGTTATTGTCATTGTTGTTGTTGTTGTTGTTGTTGTTGTTGTTGTTGTTGATTTTATTGTCGTTGTTGTTGAATTGTTGATACCCCACGAGAATGTCAGGCTAATATTATGAAGAAGGCAGCTCTCTACTCACCCAGAAAAGGAACCCGTGAGCACATACAATATACCGGATTGCCATCCAGCAGGAGAGAAAAGTCGGGTTTGTTTTGAGCGTGTGTGTCTAACGCCGTCCTGGAGGCGAGGTCTAAGAAAGAGATTGCGTTTTTGCGCATGTCCAAGACGCTCAGGTGTGGTGAAGTTGAATGCATTTGCATTCGCTAATTAATTGAAAGGCACAAACAAAAGAACCACTGGCCGACGTTCTCCAGCAACTTCGTGAATCAGCACCACGTAGAAAGGGGGACAACCGTAACCCAAATCAAGGAAAGGAACAAAGTCAAGGAGTAGAAATGTGGTTACTGTCCCAAAATATGCAAGCAGTAAACGGAAGGCAAGCCCAATAGTATTATTTGCTTGCCTGCATTGGGAGACCAAATATTCCCGTGTATTTCAAGCATTATTGAAGCAAAGCTACAAGTAGCCAGGTGCTGATAGAAAAATAAAGGATGAGGACTGGATTAGTTGTAGTTTTTAAACCCCATTACGGCCCTGTTACATTTGTTTCTGCATTTTATTCATTTCTGAAAGGGCAATTTTCACGTTTAAAAGCAATTTTGTATTTTCTATGTTCATATTAGAAATCATGTGTCACATTTGGCCCTCCTATGTCCATTTCCCATACCTATGTGACATTGGAGCTTGCTATGTTCACATTGCAAGGGGAAATACTTTATCCTACCTCCTTGGTGGACCTCTTTCGGGGACAAACAGATCTGTCGTTAACTTCTACTCCCAGTATTTCTGAAGAAGCCTCCGAGGCGAAATGTGAAAAGTTTTGATGTACGATCTTTGTTCATTTCTATTGTTCAGGTATAGTTATTCAAGACATTACCTCTCTATTCTGCTTTTTCTACAATGATGATGATGATGATGATGATGATGATGATGATGATGATGATGATGATGATGATGATGATGATGAAAAAAGGTGGTTTCTACTCACCCAGATATGGAATCCGTGAGCACATACAATATATCGGATTGCCATCCAGCAGGAGAGAAAAGTCGGGTTTGCTTTGAGCGTGTGTGTCTAATGCTGTCCTGGAGGCAAGGTCGAAGAAAGAGATTACATTTTTGCGCAGGTCCAAGACACTCAGACTTGGTGTAGTTGAAAGGTCAAACCCTAACGATGTAAACCGATTGCCTGACAAAAGTATTGAATTCATTCTCAAGTTGGAAGAAAAAACATATCTCGGTAATTTTTGGAGATGGTTGTCACGTAGGTCGATGTGTTGGAGTTTTGGCGTTTTCTCTAGCCAACTCTCTTTCAAAAGTTGATCGATAAAGTCGCTCCCCGACATGGCATTTAGCAAAAGAGATTCCAAATTCGGGAAGCTTTGAAGAGGGACAATGGTTGGACGCATCTTCAAGTCTGATCGTGTGAAGTCTAGCAAGGTGACATTTTCCAATCCTGTCATGTGACCGTCCCAATGCATGTTGTTACCGTTGACAAAGCGAATTTCTTTTAAATTCTGACAATATCTGAAGTGGATAGCTGGAAACTTGAGGTAACCTCCCGTTTTGATGACAATCAAAGACTGCATATGTTTAGGGCATCCAAAAAGAAAACCTCTTCGAATTCTTTTGTTGGACGTCTCATGCAATGGGCTGTTCGCACTGAGTATATTAAATGTTTCTCTTTCATTTCTTTTATTCACATTACTATAATGGGGAAGCGCATGTGTTTGGGACGAAGATGTAGATTTGGGGTCAAAGATGTAACTTATTTTGTTTACAGATTTTCTGATGCTCAGAGCATTCCCAAACTTGAAATCGTATTCCGGGCCACACCAAGTGGATTCGCTGCACTGCAGCTCCTCTATAGATTCGAATCTTATCAGTTCCAAAATAATACTTATCCACTGATCCATTTCCCCAAGAATGTTTCCGACAAATCGAAGGTTTTTCAGACATCTTCCAAACCTGGAATTTGCGCTTAATGCGTTGGGCTCTATACCCATCACTTTGGACCAATCCAACATCATCTGGGAAAGACATATATTAGAGAGATGTTTAAGGGATTCTTTTGTCATGAGTCCGTCCTTAAAGACTGCATCCGGAGTACCGAGAGTGGGGTGCAAGTACACTTTGTCGATATCAATTAAAATCATTCTTTTGTTTTCGAAAGGCCACAGACACTTCATGACATTTTGGTTTCCAACAGCGACAGCCATAATGCGAAGAATGTCTAGGTTTTGAACATGAACAAAAAATCCAGTTTCAAAGACTGCTTTATTCCGATGACCGTGTACCGTTAGTTCTCTCAGAGCCACATCTCTAAGACCTTCAAAACTGCGGTTCGACCCTTTGACAAAGTCATGCGGACAAAATACATACAGGTACGTCAAATTCTTCAGTTTGGAAAACGGTTGGCCGAAGTATATTTCTAGGTCTCCGTCAATTGACAACCTTGCCAGATGCGATAGGTCAGAGAATGGGACGGCAGAACTGGAAGGAGATTCCCGAGTGCCTTCATTTTCCCATGTGTTCCCCTTCAGGTACAAGTTCTCCAAATTAGGAACGTGAGAAAATATGGTCCTGGAGAGACGTCTTGTATAGATATTGTTATTCTCCAGGTTTAATTCTTTCAGCTTTCCAAGGCCCCTCAATGCATCCTCCTGAAATGATAGGAGAAAAATGGACATGTGTAAACAGTTTCTGGACGTGTCAACGTGCAGAGCAGTAATAATAATAATAATAATAATAATAATAATAATAATATTAATAATAATAATAATAATAATAACAATAATAATAATAATAATAATGATAATGATAATAATAATAATAATAATAATAATAATAAAGATAATAATAATAATAATAATAACAACAACAATAACAATAATAATAGTAATAATAGTAATAATAATAATAATCTTGATATATTATTAATAATAATGTCT